GGGTTTGGGGTTTACGGTTTGGGGGGCCCTACTTGGAAGTTATAAGTGGGGGTAATTATAAGTTCGTAAATGTGGGTGATACTTATAGGTACCTTAAATAGAATAAACCCTCAACCCTGAACCCAAAACAAATCAAAGTTCATGAACTCAACTACGACGCCCTAAATAAGCCCACTTAGAACCACCCTAAACCCTAAACCCTAAACCCTAAGCCCTAACACGAAACCCTAAACCCAAGCAGCCTTTAGCGAGTTGAGCCCTTCTCTGGGCCCGGAGAGTTGGTGGGCGGCTTCTGAGGTGTCAGAGGTTTATACTGCTCTTAGGGTTTAGGGTTTAGGGTTTAGGAGTTTAGGGTGTAGGGTTCAGGGTTTAAGGTTTAGGGTTTATGGTTTATAGACCTTAATCCCTAAACTCTAAACCTTCAACACGTTTCGCTTGGCCGCTCCGCGAGCCGACTGCCGAAACCCAAGGTAAAGAAGTCAGGGAAGAGAAAACCGGGGAGCTCCACTCGATAATATCGAGTTTGCGTTTTAGGCTTTAGGCCTTAGGGGTTAGCGGTCAGGGGTTCAGGGTTTAGGGTTTTTTGAGATTTCATATCGTAGAACAGATGTGACATGATGTGACGGTTGAGACAACAAGACCCGTAGCGACCGGTTGTACAGCGCACAGTTACAGGGTTCAATAGGGTTGGACAGCTTCCTAGAAACACAGTGCGTCTAGTTTAATATGCCTGCAAACCAAGGGTGTTTGTTTGGGCTCATGCCCTGAACTAGAGCCTGAACAGACAAGAAGCATTCTTGCCCTAAACAAAGCCCTAAACCCTAAACCCTAAACCCTAAACCCTAAACCCCAAACCAGTCCTTCAGTGGCGTTCCCAAGCAAGAGCTTGTGGATACTTTGGTGCAGCGTTCTGTGGCGGCCATGACGGTGGGGCACAGAGTCTGCCAGGGCTCAGTACTTAAAGGATCAGGGGACCTAGTGAGTGGGCACATATATATATATATATATATTATATATATATATATATATTATATCTATATCTATATCTATATCTATATATATATATATATATCCATATATATATATATACATACACATACAGGGCTTTAGGGGGCTGTCCGGTTTATGGGGTACTTGAGGAACATTGGGCTTAGTAAGAAGGGTTCCATTACGTTGATTGTGGCTTTCAGTACTTCTGCCTATAGTTACCTTGCTTCTAAGTGTTCTTGTTGGCTGATCCTGAAACAACCCCAGAAAGCAACTTACGTTTTGACCCCCCCCCCCCTGCGATCCTTGAAGTACACAGCATGCAACCCATGATAGAACCCTTATATAATTTCAATTTTGTTTCCAGCCGCGATATAACTGAGCAAAAACCCTTTGGAAGCTACGCAAAACCCTTGGGACCTTGCAATCTTCAAAAATATGTATATGTGTACTTACAGTTCCCGAAATATACGTATAAACAAGGAACCCTCACAGTAGTATTGGCAAGTATTTCCCTAAACCCTAAACCCTAAACCCTAAACCCTAAACCCTATCCGGATCGATGTCAGTTCCTGGGGCTCCTTTTGCCACCGTGTGGCCTGTGAGGTCAATGTCGGCATCGACTTTGCAACAACTATGCATTTGATGCCAACGCCGGACGCCCAGTCCCTAAACCCTAAACCCTGAACCCTAAACCCTAAACCCTAAGCCCTAAACCCTAAGCCCTAAACCCTAAGCCCTAAACCCTAAGCCCTAAACCCTAAGCCCTAAACCCGGTCCAGGGGCCTTGAGATTGGGTTCAAAGGGCTGTAAGCCCTAAGCCCCCCAAACCCCAAACCCTAAACCCCAAACCCTAAACCCTTTAAAGCCTATACCCTAAACCGTAAACCATAAACCCTTGGAGGCCTAAACCCTGAACTCAACCGCAAAGCTCTGAATCCAAAACCCGGATTTCTGACGCAGGCTGTTGCTGACGAGGTTGTTTCTTCTTATGTTCCCTGGAAACGCAGGCTTAGTATAGCACTGTTAGGGTTTAGGGTTAGTGTAGCTAAGTTGCGCCATCAGGCCGCCTTCGGTGGTTTAGGGTTTAGGGTCTAGGGCTTGGGTTCGTGGGAGTTTGGGGTGTAGCTTTGGAGCGTGACCCGCGTGGGGTTGAAGATAAAGGTCTGAATAGGTTCTTGGAAATAAGTATTCCCTACAGAGCTCTGCCATACAACAGTTGTGGTATATCCCCCTACAGTCCCTATGTAATTATATACTAAAACGCACCACCCAAGCCCTACTGGAAGTATTAAGGCCCCCCCAGATTAGGCTCTCCGTTTCGGGTTTAGGCTTCGTGGCTTTCGGGTTTCGGTTCAGTCTGGCTATCCCTCCAACAGGCTTCTACAACTCCGTCATATTCACATCTTTTTTGTAAAGCATGTAAGATGCCCGAAACCCTAAACCCTGCACCTTTTGTACAATGCTTGTAGCACTCTCGGTAAATTCTACCGAAACCTATATGGGTAGTTCTCTAAAGTAGGGTCCCCTTTTCGGTCCCCAATATGGTACGGAACGCTTACAAAGAGGACCCAAAACGAGCCCCTAATTTAGAGAGCTCCTTATAGTTCCCTCGTTGACTCATGAAGCGCTCATCTTTTGAAACCCTGCGGCGCAACTCCTGCAACTAGGATCTTGCAACCCTAAACTCCAGCATTGGTTTAGGGCTTAGGGGCTTTGGGGTTAGGGTTTGGGGGTTTAGGGTTTAAGTAGGGGTTAGGCGTTTAGGGGCTCAGGGTTTAAGGGTTTTGCGCTCCAACGACTAGAATTCCGCGCATACTAGAACCCGCACTCGGCCCTCTTGGTCCTATTAGCGCTCTCATCAACCCCAATAGAACACCGTAAAACCAAATAAACACTCCTCATAAGACCCAGCACCCAAATCCCAAACCCTAGCTGGTACAAATCGAGAAGTGTACCAAACACCTAAACCCCAAACGTGGGCCGTAAACCCTAAATCTTAAACCACCCCAAAGCCCAAATCCTAAACCCTAAACCCCACACCCTAAACCCCAACTCCTGAACCAGGAAGCCCCTCAAACCCCCAATGGGGCTCCAGGTTTCTGCAAGTCCCTTCAGATGACAGATCCGAGGCCCTACACCCTCAACCAGAAACCCAGTCCTTCATAGAGTCTAAAGGAGCCCCTCATAGAGCCCTTAAAGGAACCCTAAAAGGAGCCCTTAAACACACCCTTAAAGGAACCCTTAAAGGAACCCTTAAAGGAGCCCCTCATAGAGCCCGAAAAGGAGCCCTTAAAGGAACCCTTAAAGGAGCCCCTCATAGAGCCCTTAAAGGAGCCCTTAAAGGAGCCCTTCCAGGAAGCCTTGAAGATCCCTTATAAAGCCCTTAAAAGAGCCCTTATAAAGATGCCTCATAGAGCCCTTAACGGAACCAATGAAGATCCCTCATAGAGCCCTTAAAGGAACCCTTGAAGATCCCTGAAGCCTAGGTTTTTGCAACCCCTGTTTCTAATCGTTGTCCGCGGCGACGGTAGCCCGAACGAGGCCTCGACCTGACTGACGGTGTAGGGTTGAGGTACGGCGGCTTTTTTCGGAAAGGTTTAAGGGTTCCTTCAAGGGATCTATAAGCGTTCCTTTAAAATTAAACAGGGGTTCTGTACAGGTTCCAGAAGGGTTGGGGGTTTAGGGCTTCTAGGGTTTAGGGTCTAGGAACCTTCACGTGGAGGGTGAAGGGTCTAGGGTTGATGCCATAAGCTAAGCTTTATGCCATAACTTTTATGGCTTCGGGATGCAGGGTTTAGGAATTTGGGCGGCATTCCTTGCCTTGCATTGGGGACTAGAGACGGGAGTTTCTGGGACCCTAAACCCTAAACAACCGTGAGTGTAGTATAGGGTTTAGGGTTTGGGGTTTGGGTTATGGGTTTAGGGTTTATGGTTTAGGGTGACGGGTTTAGGGCTTAGGGTTTAGGGAGATTCCTTAAATCAGGGATTTTGGAGCGTGTGGGATGCGAGGGCTCGTGCACTTCAGGCATGTGCCAAGGTAAGAGCAGCGGACCTTCATGGCAAGGCTGACAAGTAGGGTCTTATAAAGTTTCTTTTTGTAGAGTTCTGTAGGGTTTTACAGGGCATCCTGGATGTGTATCTTATAGAGGCCATTACCAATACTATTTTAGGGGTTCCTTCTTATCATTCTAGTATAGTATACCCGAAACCCTATGCTACTTACCCTAAACCCTAAACCCTAAACCCTAAACCCTAAACCCTAAACCCTAAACCCTCAACCCTAAGCCCTAAACCCTAAACCCTACACCCACAAGGTCTTTCGGGCTCTCAAGGTTTCAGGTTTTCAGGGTTGCGCCCCTCCACTCTGAACCCCCTAGGCTGGCCCTCAACCTTGTAGGGTTCTTTGGGTTTAGGGTTTAGGGATTCAGTTTTTGGGGCTTAGGGTTTAGGGTTTAGGGTGTAGGGTTCTTTGCGTTTAGGGTTTAGGGATTTAGGGTTTGGGGCTTAGGGTTTAGACCACTATGAAAACTTTGGAAACCTTATAGAACCGGTCTAGAGCCCTAGCGGAGCACTCGACATCCGAGAAGCTTAAAGTCTATAGTTTCCTTAAACAGTCTGTTCTGAAAGGGCATAGTTTTCTTATAGCAAAAAAGTGCATCGGTTTTTTGGTGTATAGCTTTCAAGCATAAAAGCCCATGCTAAAAAAAGGGCCCCCCAGCATTCCTTTCTACCTATGAGTACGACGCCGGTCTGTTCCGAATACCCGAAACCCTAAACCCTAAACCCATGCTCGATCGCGCAGCGTAGACCTCACACCGCCCCGCTCTGCTCCATCGCTAGCTGCGCCCTCAACGCCCGCCATGGCCGACGCCCCTGAGCTGGCAGCCGGCGCACGCAAGGCCGCTTTAGGTTCGGTTCGTAGGCTTTCTTTTTGTTTAGGGTTTAGGGTTTAGGGTTTAGGGTTTGGGTTTAGGGTTTAAGGTCTAGGGTTTAGGGTTTAGGGTCAACTTGCGTTGCGATGACCAATGTCGTTGATTTTTTCAGTTCTTGCTCCCATGATCCCTAGCATCATTAATGATGTGAATCGGGTTTGGAGGTTTCGAGAGTCTTCAGAACTTTGCTTCAAGATACCCTAAACCCTAAACCCTAAGCCATGTGTATAAGGCAAAGGAAAATGAGGGGAGCTTATGTAAGGGCCTTGATACCTCAAGGGTCGGGGGAGTTAGTAGTTACAGCTACAAGCAGGGTACCTACCGTTATATTTAGGGTTTAGGGTTTTGGGCTTAGAGATTGTATCAAACTGCCGCCTTCTTGTAGGTTGCTTGGAGGTTTCAAGGTACCTTAAATGGGGTTATCAGTTATCAATAATTATTAATATAGTTGCCTTAATGATAACCCTAAACCCTAAACCCTAAACCCTAAACCCTAAACCCTAAACCCTAAACCCTAAACCTGAATCAGGGGATGTTGGCATTTCGAGGATCCATCAAAAGCCAGTCTAAAGTCTAGGACATTTTTCAGGTGGGTAGTACCATTATAGGAGCCCTATAGAAGGTCTATATTTTTCAGGATCCTCACAAGTTTCTCAAAGTCCGCGGCTAAACCCTTCAAACCTCTTGGAGCACTCCTTGAGGGAGATTCTACGGATGGGGAAAAACCGCCCTAAACCCTAAACCCTCGCCCGAGGACCCCTAGAGAGCCCCTGTAGATTCCGGGCAGCAGCCCTTCAACGAAACCTTACGGGCACCCTGGGAGGAATCCTTAAAGTAATCCTAAACGGAATCGTCAACGTAATGCTTGCAGGAGGCCTTAGAGGAAACCTTCAACGAATCCTAGACAGATAGTAGACCTTATAGAACCCTTTAAGGAGCCCTTTGCAGGAACCCTATAAAACCCGTTTCTAACTTTGCAAGCATCCTCTGAAAATTCAGCAGGTGTTGGCCGATGAGGTGGCTGCCCCATTCCGGGAGGAGATTCGCAAGGCATCTGCAGCATCCTCACGGGCGCCCCTAAACCCGAAACCCCGTAAACCCTAATTCGTAAACCCTAAACCCTAAACCCTGAACCCCGAACCCTAAACCCTGAACCCCAAACCCTAAACCCTGAACCCTAAACCCTAAACCCTGAACCTCGAACCCTAAACCCCGAACCCTAAACCGTAAACAGGAAAACTCTAAACCCTAAACCCTGAACCCTAAACCCTAAACCCGGGTTTCTCTCGGTTGTCTTCAGGTTTTCTTAGGTTTGGCGCCTCTTAGAGATTCGAGTTCTGGGAGTTTCTGGGTCAGAGTTTAGGGTCTAGGGCTTAAGGTTTAATTGGGGGGTTTAGGTTTAGACACGTTCATATACAACAATCTTAATATTCTTTCGGTGTCATGTCATGTTTTTGGAAAGTCTCAGGTTCTGATGATAAAGGTTTATAGATGTTTAGGGTTTGGGGTTTGGGGTTTAGGGTCATAGACGTTTCAAACGTGTCGATGGTTTCAGGGGCTGGGGGTTGATTCGTTCGGGGTAATCATAAGCTTTGAAGCTGGGTGCCCCAAACCTCCAACTGTAGTGTTTATGTTGCAACCCTAACACCCTAGACCCCTAAAGCCCTTAAGCCCCTAAACCCTAAACCCGAAAACCTACCCTAAACCCTAAACCCCTAAAGCCCTTAAGCCCCTAAACACTAAACCCCTAAACCTTAAACCCTAAACCCTAAACCCCTACAGCCTGAAGCCCCTAAACCCTAAACCCCTAGACCTTAAAGCCTAAACCCTAGCACCCTAAACCCTAAATCCCTAAACCCTAAACCCCTCAACCCCGAAACCCTTCCGGGGTCGATGTGGCAGTGTCCAACTCGGGGAATCCCTGAACAGGAACGAGGAGGAGGATCCTTGTCATACAGGGGGCTTAGTAATCAGAACAGGGCTTTGGGGTTTAGGGTTGAGGGTACACTATAGTAAAACTGTACCAAGAAACTCAAGGAATCCTGTGGGAAATTATTCCCAAAACCCTAAACCCTAAGCCCCTTTTTTCGAATAGTTTCAGTTTCGGATCGAGGCCTCGATCTCCTCTTACTTAGCGCACTACTTCGAAAGATTGAACTTAGCAGACACAGACACAGACATAGACACATGCACACAAAAGCGCACACAACGCACAGACTTTAGATTAGACTCCTCAGAAGAAGACCTTGAACCTTGGACCCTAAACCCTAAACCCTGAGCCCTATCCCCTCAACCCCAGTACCCGTGCTCAGCCTTGAACCAGATTTAGAACTCCACGCGCAGTGCGTGCATCCTGCGTTTAAAGCGCCACGAAGTCCTCACGCAAGCTCGTCGAAAAGCCATGAATGGCTTGAAAACCGCTGAATTTATCAAACCCTAGACCCCCTTAACCCTAACCCTAAACCCAAAACCCCTAAACTTCAAAAGCCCAGAGCCCCCGGGCACTATGAAAGCCCGTGCAATCAACATGCTTTGTGTACGGAACCTGCACCCGCAACCTAAAATCCAAACCCCATACCAAACTAATCCATGAACCCTGAACTTTAACGATCCTAAACCTTCAGGATGCTAAGCCCTAGACCCTAAATCTTAAACCCTAAACCTTAAAACCCTAAACTGTTTAACCCTACACTCTAAACCCTAAACCCTGAACCCTAAACCCTGAACCCTAAAACCCTAAACCCTAAACCCTAAACCCTAAACCCTAAACCCTAAACCCTAAACCCTAAACCCTAAAGTTCCTGAAGCGGACCAGGCCGTCGCCGATATGGGTGGAGTCGGACCAAAGCTGGTCGGATTTTTGGCCAACGCCGACCCTGCGGCGAAGAAGTCGCTCGGCAAAGACGCAGACTTTTGGGGCTTATGGTGGTTTTTGCAGGGTCTGGGGCTTACACTTTACAAGCTTTGGGGTTCTAGGGTTTTTGTGGGTTTTAGGGTATAGCGCTTTTTTTGGGTGCTTTCAGGGGTTTCAGCACGGGTTTCACAAGCTTTCTGGGGCTTTCGGGTTCTCAGCAGTAACCCTTTGGCAGGCCGTGGGTTCAGGGTTTAGGTTTTAGGGTTGGGGGTTGAGGGTTGAGGGTTTAGGGTTGGGTTTAGGGTTTAGGGTTGAGGGTTTAGGGCTTGGGGTTTAGGGTTTAGGGCTTAGGGTTGAGGGTAATCGTGACAGACTCATCATGGAGACCCCCAAACCCCAAGCTCGTAAGCCCCCCACAAAACCCCAAGCCCAAACCCACAAAGCCCTAAACCAATCCGCGAACCCCCTAAACTCTCAACCCTAAGCCCTAAACCCTAAACCCTAAAACCCTAAACCCCAACCCTAAACTCTATACCCTAAGCCCTAAACCCTAAAACCCTAAAACCCTAAACCCTGAACCCTAAACCCTAAACTCTAAACCCTAAGCCCCAAGCTCCCGCGAGGTACGCCGAGTGGACAGGGAAGGCGATGACCGCGGACAACCTTCGCTTTGAGCTGAGGCAGGTCGAGGAAGGAAGCCTGGAGGACGGCTTCAGGGTGGGGGTTTCGGCGTTTAGGGTTAGGGTTTAGGGTTTATATAGGGTTTAGGGGTTTAGAGTTTAGGGTTTAGGGTTTAGGATTTTTGGGTTTAGGTTTGAGGATCTAGGGTTGATGGTTCTGGTGTTTACGATTTAGGATTTAGGGTTTCGGAGGCCTGGAGAACTTCGTCTTAGTGTTCAGGGTTTAGGGAGGCCCTCCTTGGGCTATGGGTTTGGGACTTGGGTTTAGGGGTTTAGGGGTTTAGGGTTTAGGGTGTAGGGTTTAGGGTGTAGTGTTTAGGGTTCAGGGTTTTTTCGGTTTAGGGTTCAGGTTTTAGGGTTTAGGTTGCTTCGGGTGCTTATTGGTGCTTATGGGGTTCAGCCCTAAGCCCTAAACCCTAAATCCTATGAGCCCTAAGCCCGAAACCCTAGACCCTAAACCCTAAACTCTAAGCCCTAAACCCGGAACCCTACACCCCAAGCCCTAGGAGGACGTTTTTGGGAGGGTAACTAGGGGGTCTCCGTAAGGACTTGCGGCGCTGTGTACGGCGTTCATACGGTTTCTAAAGGCTTCGTAGGGTTTCGGATACGGCTTCATACGAATTGTTAATGGTTCTAGGGTTTTGGGTTTAGGGTTGAGGGTTTTGGGGTTTTGGGGTTTAGGGTTTAGAGTTTAGGGTTTAAGGGACTCGTGATGATACGGTGTCCGAAGGTTTCGGGTGGCAAACCAAAGCAGCCAGTCGACATGAAGACTCCAAATGCATCAGAGCATTTTGTTCAGTAGGGCGCAGATCTTACCACACAGAGCCCTAAACCCTTAAACCCTAAACTCCCCCTAAGCCCTAAACCCTAAACCCTAAAACCCTAAACCCTAAACCCCAAACCCTAATCCCAAAGATCAGCTCTTCTGCATCTCCAGCAGCGCTCCAGAATCAAAACCCCGAAGCTCCAAATCGAAAGCCCTACCCTTCAAGGGGACCCTTCTTAAGCCTACTTATGGCTCTCTTAGAAGGGACCTTGTTGAGAGGGTCTATATCCTAAATAGTCTCCGTCGTACCCTTAAGAAGCCTACCTATGGCTCTCTTAAAAGGGGCCTTATTGAGAGGGTCTTTCTCCCCAAGGATCCCCCGAATCCTAACTCTTATGTCTTCACCCCCTACATCCTGAAGGGTCTCCGTAATCCTGACTCCCAAAAGCCCCCTAAACCCTAAACCCTAAACCCTAAACCCCCAAAAGCTCCCTAAACCCTAAACCCTAAACCCTAAACCCTAAACCCTAAACCCTAAACCCCCAAAAGCCCCCAAAAGCCCCCTAAACCCTAAACCCTAAACCCTAAACCCTAAACCCTAAACCCTGGACCCTAAACCCTAAACCCTAAACCCTAAACCCCCCAAAAGCTCTCTGCGATCCTGATCAGGATGAGCTCGAGAAGGCGAACAAGGAGCCCGATGCCGCGACCTCGCAGTCAGGGATGCCTTTTTTTTGTGCTTAGGGTTTAGGGTTTAGGGTTTTAGGGTTTAGAGTTTAGGGTTTAGGGTTTAGGGTTTAGGGTTTAGGGTTTAGGGTTTAGGGCCTTTTCGTGTGCCTTCCGGGAGCCCTAAA